CATCGAGTGAATGGCCACTCGATAGCTCTTCATTAGAAGCCATTTGTTTTGAATCAGATTCAGGTTTAGGACTTGTATTGCGAGTCTTGCGTGGAGTCAAGCATTGGACACATTTGAGTGATTTGTGTTGATTGAGGAAAGTGCAGACATCGCACCACCACTTCTTGTTCGTCTCATTCTTCGCCGAAGACTTCTGGTTGTTATCACATATCGAGTCCTGAAGTGAAGACATCTGTCAAACAATTACCACTCATTAGTCCAATCATAACAAAGACAATGACATCATTACACACTTTATAGATATCTTGCGATGGATTTTCATGGCAATTATCATCAATGATGAGCTGAATGGCTGATTGTCTTAAGGCTGAACACATGGTACACTTGTTTGCCTTCGAGTAGTTATGATAAGTGCAACGATTGCAACACCACTTCCTCTCCAGATCAGCCATCACTCACCACTACTTCCACTTCTTCTCGTACTTCACCACTCGAGACGATCACTGTTTGGCCACTAATTGGTAATGAGTTGGAAAGCAAAGCATATATTGCACTCAAATTAGGTTTATATTAATGTATCACTTAATGTATAATTATATTACAATTACATGTAATTCAATAAAATCTATTTATAAATTAATTTAATTATTAGATTTTTATCAAACATTTTCACGCAAATTGTTTATTAAATCAAATGAATTCATATTGAAATCAAATCAAATTCATTTAAACACTCAAATCACAGTCATTTAATTCAATTGTTATTTATTTGTTTTGTTTTGCTTTCAATTCATTCAAAATATACTGAAAATTAAATGCAAAAGTGAGTCAATGTTCCCAATGTTTACGTCATTGCAATTGCGTTCATGTATTACGGCTTACAATACACTTCGCATACATTTCGCATGCCTTTCTCCGCACACCCCTCCCCTGAGAAGTTGTGGGCATTTGGCCATCATTTGTGTGTTGACTGTCATTCACACAACATTTTGTTCAATCAATCCATTTCTACAATCAATTTCAAGTTTTTTTCACTGAAAGGTCCAATATATTCATTCAAATCAATTGCTTTTTCTATGATTTCAGTGCAAAAGTGTTTGCAATCAATGAATCAATTATAAGGAAACGAGTGATAAGTTTGTGATCAAAGAGTTGTCATTTAGGGACCGATTATAAAGTTCGTCACTTTTGGTGTCATTGAAGGCAGTGTTGGACGAGTT